CATATTTACATGAAAATAAAATAAACTTAAGGAACAACTTCCAAGTAAGAGCAGATAAAGAGTCACCGTCATGTTGCTGGTGGTCTGAACCGATGACCCGTTTAAAAGGGGACGCCTTACTCTGCTGCTGTTTCCTTGAGAGCTCAACACATTAAAAAAAAAAAAATCCATGCATTGTTCATGACTTTGAAATTTTGCATCAGTTTTTTTGATGAAATGCAGTTGTAAATGCAACATTCAGTGATGCGTTATGTTGTACATTTGATGCAGGCGGTCCTTGAATTACGATTGTAATGGAGCCCGCCCATCACGGTCATAACATGTGATGGTCATAAAGCCGGTCGGTCACAGGACCAACTTGATTTTAAGAACTTTTTTGCGGTGATCATTAAGCTAATCAGTGGTTTGCTGTGGGAGTGGTTTGCTGAAAATCAGAAGGAAATGTCGGTTTTGGACAAAATCATTGTAAAACGTGGTGGCATGACCACAGTACACTGCAAACAGCCATAAATGAAGCCTGGTTGCTCGGTGTCTGAAGGGCTGTCAAGTGATCCGGAGCGGGGGGGTGGGCTGTGGGGGGCAACCATCAGAACTTAAAATCTTAGGTCATGAGTACCCCCCAGATTCTTAAAATGACCTTAATCCTATTGAATTTCTATAGAATTGTAAAAACCCGGCTTTTGTGTGTTGGATCAGAATAATACAGGGCTGCCAAACTCTTGGCCCACGGGCTGAATGCGTCGTGCGCTGGCCACACCCATGCCCGGTTTACCAAAGGGGGGGAAAGTCCCAATATATCTTGTGATGACTACGTGAATTTGACACCCCTGGAATAGTAGATGAGCCTTTTTTTTTAATGAGAGTGTAAAGGATGTTTTTGCTAGCCTTGATTGGTTTGCTGTTTTTGCCAGCTTATTTTGTTTCAGTATATTATTTATTTTCCTTTTAATTTTCTTTTCTGATTGTTATTGCTATTCTCAGAGGCACAAATTACGAGAAGAGCGATTTTGCAAAGCTTTTAAGTCAATCTGCCTAAATTAGTTGTAAGAAGTAGGGGCTAAACCCTGCTATTGGCCTCTCTGGAGTAGTCAGTAGCACTATCTCTAGCAATGTGCAATTACTTTGAAACCTCCGGTCCGGCATGGTGTGCTTTACGGAGTCTCTTTTCTTTCTTTTTGCTTTTTCCTCAATGACCAGAAAGATGTGTTCCCTAGCACTCTTTCCACTTCCACCTCCTCCAGGAAACATCACCCTTTATGAATTCAACAATGCCCTAGTTTCTGGTCGGAGCTATGAAAAGCTTCCACTTACTTTCCAAGGACAGGTAAGTCATAATTTACACCATAGAAAGAAATCAGCTACCACCTTGTCTTAATAATAGGAAGCCTCCCAAAAATCTAATGTCAGATGGATACTTGACTTAATAAATAAGGAGGGAAACGATTTGAACTTTTCTTTAATTTGTTTAAAAGGATTAGCGATGGGTCTCTGCCTGTAGTTTAGTGGATCAATACTTCAACTCCTTGTTGCATTGAATTAAGTATGTCTGGGAGAGTCACCAGATCCGAATTGCAAATATCCAGACATCCACTAAACGGCAGAGGAGCGATGGAGAAAAAATCTTGATTCTTACTGCCTTCTCATGGTTGCCTGGATTCTAACAGCTCATCTCTGGTAGCCTTTATCTTCAGTGATCTGGGAAAAATAAAGTGGTAGGAATTAGCCTCAAAATATAAATACAAAGTAGGAAGGGCAGAAGAATTGCTTAAAAGCAGCACAGGTTGTCCTCGTCTTAACAACCATTCATTTAGTGACTGCCTTATTTAGCAATAGAAATTTGGGGGCTGAATTCTGGTTGTAAGGCATGAACTACCTATATTCTGAAGAGAGTTGGCTAATCCTCATCAGAAGGTCTTCAGAAATACCGTTTGAGCAGTCCTACGGGAACTTGAAAAGGATGTTCAATCAGAGGAAAGTAGGCCAAATAACAGAAGGTAATAGGCTGGGCTTGTTTACATTTGACCAACACAAACAAAATTCTTTTCCAAGAAAATATTTAATTCTGTGACTTACTTTACGTAATGTTTAAGTAACAATTCTGCTAGAAAGAGACCACATATAAAGCTCCGTACCTTTAATTAGAAGCTTTAATTTCTAGCTTTTTGAATGTCTGGGCAATTTGAAGTGTAGAGAGAAGGAGAAGGAAGAAACACTTTGTATATTCTGAATTCTGATTAGTACCTGTTGGCTAATTTAAAAAAAATACAGAAAAACCAGATGTACCATTAATCTCATGCTGCCTATAAACCGAAGTGAAACTGGAACCTTGATTGGTTGTCCTGTTATCCAGCTTTTTTTGTTTTTTTGTTTTTGTTTATTTTTTGTATAAATAATTCTGGTCAAGGAATTTTACTTTCTTAATTCTGTGGATAATTGTGCAGATGGAAAGTCTTCCCACTCCCACTATTCCCAAAGAAAACCTGAAAGCTTTCAGTCGCCTGGAACACAGCACCAAGCCGGCTTTCATCCATCACCAGGAGTCACTCTGGAAGAGGTGCATCAGAGCCTGGTGAGTTTGGGTTAGGTTGGGATGGTCATGCCAGAGCTGCGTGTTTCCACACATTGATTGCCCGCAACTTTAAGAAAAGGGCACACTCCCAGTTCTCAGCTGAAGAACTGATTTGGGGACTGGAGGTTAAAACATACGAAGAACGGTTGCAGGAACTGGGCTTGGCTAGTCTAGTAAAGAGAAGGACCAGGGGAGACATGATAGCAGTCTTCCAATATTTGAGGGGCTGCCACAGAGAGGAAGGGGTCAAGCTATTTTCTAAAGCACCTGTAGGCCAGGCAAGGAATAATGGATGGAAACTGAACAAAGAGAGATTCAACCTGGAAATGAGGAGAAACTTTCCGACAGTGAGAACAATCAACCAATGGAACAGCTTTCCTTCGGAAGTTGTGGGAGCACCATCACTGGAGGCTTTTAAGAAGAGATTGGACTCCCATCTGTCAGAAATGGTGTAGGGTCTCCCGCTTGGGCGGGGGGGTTGACTAGATGACCTACAAGGTCCCTTCCAACTCTGATTATCTGTTATCTGTTAACTATAAGAGGAATGTCAGGTTTTATTTCCTTCCTAGGATTTGTCTTTCTCCTGTTTTCTTTTTTTTCATTTAATTTCTCACTTTCGGTATATGAATCAGAGGAGAAAAGCATTGGGGGTGAAAAGAAGAACAGGCTAAATAGATTAAAAAGTGACAGCAGATTCTTAGGATGACCTCGCTTTCTGGGGATCAGATTTTTATTTAAGCCTACAAGCCTTCTGCCTTCATGTTTTTATGTCCTTGTCCAAGTTTTACATGGTTATTTTCAGTTTTAAATAGAGTTGTTTAATGTTCACAACATACTTTAAATCAGGTAAGAGAACTGCATTTGTGTCTTAGTAGAGTTGATGCTAAAAAGATATTTCTTACTTTAGACAGTAAATGCGGTAATAATACAGTTAAATATTCTCTGCATAACCTATCCTTTTGATTGGCATCAACCTGGTATCTTATGCATAAGAAGCAGTTAGAGAATAGCCTGCTAAGCTGTAGTTATTTGCTTGATGGCTGTTATGGTACTGATAAGAAAATACTGAACTAGGCTGTGGGAATCAGTAATGTTCTTCCACCTCTCTTAGCATTAAAGACAGACAGACAGACAGACAGACACACACACACAATGCCTGCATCATAATTCTCTAGCACAGATCTGTCAAACTCGCAGCCTGTATGTGTCATGCACTGGCCACGCCCGGGTTAGAGAAGGGGGGAAAGTCACAATACATCACGTGATGCCACTGTGACAATACGAGTTTGATATCCCTGCTCTAGCATTTCATAGGTGGAGAAGCAGAATAACATTATGGCAGCTGTGCTTGGTCTTCTCACCATTCTTGATAGGTTTTCCCAGGCCCAGGCTGGTGATGACAAAGCAGCACAGCTTTCCTCTGATATTCTTACCGAAGAGTAAGAGAGGAAATTACCTGGTTGAGTCGAGCAACCTGAAGCAACCTGTTTGGCTTCTAAATGTAGATATATATATTTTTTTTACAACAGACCTGACTTTGGTGACTCAGGAGAATACTAAGTATTTGGGTGATCAGTGAGCCAGGAGGATAGGGAATAAAAACCATGAGGCTGGGTCACAGAAGAACACTGGCACTTCTCATTAGAGAAGCTGAAAGAGAAAATCTATGATCGTAAAATCTGAAGTTGCTTTGATGCACATCAAATTACTTTTCCAAATGCACATGGAACATGAACGTGGAACCCTTTCACCTGTAGCAGCTTTCACACAGTATATTTTATTCAGGCGCGACGTTGGAGTGGCTGGTGTGCTTGAAGAACTCGCAAATGCAGAAGAGGAACAGGACTCGGACCAGGGAACAAACAAGCAATCTTGGGTGGAATCCTCAAAGGAGCTAGGTAGTGTACTAAGAATCATACAGTACAGCTTGACCGGTTGAGGAGCGAATAGGAAAATCTTTTCTTAGCTCTACCTCAAAATCATGTTTTTCTAGAAATGTATGGTGATTGGTGCAATAATAAGAGCAAACAAGGATGTAGGAGTGATGTAGGTGTGATATCTGCTGCCCTAGTTCATCCTTGGGATTGATAGTTAAACGGGCTCACTAGAAGGATATTATTTCCTGACAAATTTCTCATGGGCGCCCCTCCCAAAGCTTACTGGAAGAACAATATGCTATCTCCCAGATAAGTCATTCTTTCTTCTGGCAGAGATGTAATATTACTCTTGCTGAAAAAAAAGATAGGAGTGGGGTTTTTTTTGAAGATAAGATATAAGTGTTAGGAATATAAGTCACCTAACAGGTATTTGGGTTAGAAATATATAAACCAGGATAAACATTTTAAAACTGTATCTTTAAGAAAATGCAAAACTGTAATTAGGTGTGGTTTCTCAAACGGCCATAAAATGGAGCCAGAAACCTGGGTTGTTTAGTCTGAGTCTCAGAAGTGAGTGTGAGTGTATCTCTGTTTCCTTCTGTTGGAAAGTATTGCGTTCCTCCATTTCTTCTAATTAACTGATATTACTGGATTTGATGTAAGTTTGTTACTGAACTGTTTTTGACACTGGGATTTGTTATTGGATTATCCCTGGATTGAAAACTGACTGATTTACTTGTGAATGACTTTGGATTGCTTATTTTGGACTTTGCTTAAACCTTTCTGGAAGTAAAAACCTACATTTACTGTACAGTGTATCTGTGTGCTCTGTGTGTATTATTCCAACACTACTCTCTATACGTCTCCCTGTATGCGCTCATTCTCCTAACGGGGAATTACCTCAACAATAAGCCTGAGAAAAGAAAATTGATCCAGCCCATTAAGGTCATTTTTTAAAACATGTACATTTTTAGAGTTGGTGGCACACTTTGTATCTTCTGTACAGGTCGTTCTCGACTTATGACCATAATTGGGACCGGAATTCCAGTCATAAATCATTATGTTCATAAGTTGAGAGACTATATCATGAGGCCCAACCTTTTCAACCATCTTTTTATACCAGTTGTTAATCTAAATCTCTTAAATCTTGCAGTCGTAACTCTAAATCCACTCTCTCAAATGGTATTTTTACCATCAAACAATTGGTTGTAACTAGAGGATTATCTGTGTTTCAGCTCTGCAATGGATGAAATCCGGATCTCGGTGTGCATTAGGACTCTGCTGTTGGATATCCTCCCTCCATGGCTCCTTCTTTCCCCATTTGTCGGTAAGGTTTGCATAACATAGCCCGAGTAGAAGAGAGGGGCCGGGGGAATGGGTGACTGGAAAGCATGCCAGTCCATACTGGGATCAATAATTGATTGAGATGTCAGATATGGTAGCTGTGCCTTCTTTCCATTTTATGGAGGGAACCTTTCCTTCTCCCTTTAGCCAGTTTCTCCTGCATATTCAGATATGGCCATTCTTAAGTGACTGCCAGTGAAGTATTAACATTGCTGTTTCTTTTTTTCTCAAAGCTGCCAAGTGAAGATATAATAGCAAAATTCTCCCAGGCTGTGGATTGGTGAGTCCTGGGTGGTTTGCATGTATCCAGTAACCAAATATTAGTTGCTGTCTGAATCCTCTCCCTTATTGGAAAGGAATCCAGTTGATCTGCTTTAAACCTGAAAAGTGACATATTTTATCAACATGATACATATTCTTCTTTACTATGTAGAGAAGTCTTATTTACCAGATAATCTGCAGAACCCTTAATTGTATTTCTGAATGCATATTGTTTGTGTAAATCTCCTATTTATACAATATCAGTTAGTCCTGGAATAGCAGGTATTGGTTCTGTGCTAATCATAAATGCAAGCTAAAATGTTTCCTTTACACATAAGTGTTTTTTTAAATAATTGCCTTGTTGGTTAGCCATTGTAACATGACTCTTCAGAAGCACCCAGTTTTCATTTACACTGACACTTTCTATGATACACAGCCAACCAGCCCCAACGGTGTAGCTTCTGTCTTTTAAACCTGCTTGGCTTTTCGATGGAAACAAGCCCAAATTATATTTTTTTTAAACAACCCTTGTGTTGATTGCAGGGCAGGCTGCTCAATCCGAGCTTTTGCGTGGCATCCTCATACCAACAAATTTGCAGTGGCCCTTCTGGATGACTCCGTCTGTGTTTACAATACCAACAGGTAAGGGACCTAACTGGTCTAAGGTAGAGAATTACTCTGAACAGACTGAAGCCAGTGGCAATGAACATGGCATATGACCGAAAGCTTGAACTCTCCAGGATGGTATAGAAAGTTCTATTCAAGAGTTTACTTAAGAGTTGATTAGCACCAGGCCAAGGAGAAGAAATACAGTGGCACCATCAAATTTGGTAGCACATTTTGATGTGAAAATTTTGTGCTGGTACTCATTGTTTGGTACTGAACACATAAGTTAGAACTTGTTGATGTTGGCTGCCTTGGGACTCCTTCACAACATTATTCCTTACGGGGAAATTTTGTTCGGTACTCATCACTTTTGGTATTCCTCGTACCTCCCGGAATCAAGGATGAGTACCAAGGTACCACTATAGTTGGATTATTGCACCTTGAGATGAGAATAGTAATGGAAGTTGTGCATAAAAACAAACTAGGTTTGCTTGAAAACAAGCTGTTCCCACCCACCAAAATGTATGGGCAGAAGGGGAGAAGGAGGTCATTTGGGCTAAAGGTCGGCCATTCTGTACACCTATTCTTTGCCCACCTTTGGGCCTGTGTCAAATAGTTCTGCATATTCTTGTCAAGAAGTGAAAACTTTTATCAGATGGACCTGCCCAATTAATAAACTCAAACTGTAGCATGCCACCCTTCTTTGCAAGGGAGTAACTAGTCCCCTGCCCTCCCAAGTTGCTCATTGACTTTTGAAGTTATTGAGACGCATCTCTCTTGCTTGGCTTTTTAAAGATATTTTTAGTACTTGATCATTTTTATACTTGCACTGTAATATTTTTCTTTAGGAAAGCTGTAGGCTTTGTGCCCCACCAGCAGACAGCCAATATTAAAACATTAATCTTCTGTAATAAATGAGGCCAAACCGAAATCTATCTTTTGAGGAATCTCAGTAATCTCCCGGTGATCATCCAATAGAAATGGATCACAACCTGCAGAAAACCAATTGTCAAACCACCTGCCTAGTTGCTCTGTGTGGAAATCTACATAAATAAAAGTAATTGTTTTATTCTTGGGCTTGTATGTAGAAATATAACTTCTGGCTTACTACCTGGAATCTTAGGAACTGTAAGGACCATTAATCCAGCCCTCTGCTCAGTGAAACAATATTCCTGTAGCTTCTCCTTGGACACATTCAAGAAGGGGAGCCTACCTTCTTGTCTTCTAGGAAGTTTCTTCTAACGTGCAACTGAAATTTACCTTTCTATAATTGAATACTTTTTTTGTCTTCCACTCTGCAGCAACAGAGGACAAATCCTGTTATTTTAAGGGTATTTAATCACACAGTGTAGCCTACATCAATTCCTTAGGCTCATTTTGCTTGGTATCTCTGGCCCTCCGGGCAAATTTATATCTCTGTTTTGGTTTTCTTCTCCAGTACTATTGTCCCAATCCTGAAGCATCGTTTGCAAAGAAATGTGGCTTTGATGGCCTGGAAGCCACTGTGTGCATCTATCCTTGCTGTGGGGTGCCATAGCTGTGTGTTGATTTGGCACCTGGATCCCACTTCCCTTTCTACCAGGTAACCCAGTCAGGTCTTGTTGATTAATCAGTGATGGCAACCCATGTTAGCCAGCAAGTCACAATTGCTATTTCGTTGCTGCAGCTATCTGAAGTAAATACTTATTAGATTTCAGATGCGCAGCCCAGTTCTTTTATTTTTAGTGTATTCTTAGTCTCTTCCCCATTACAGCTTTTTCCCATTCCTCCATGTACCTTTTCCCACCTCCAATGACATATATCATGTGTCCCTTCTCCCAAGTCTATGGTCTAAACAAAGAGTACAAGAAAATGAAGGTCCCCCCCCATACTCATTCAACTTCTGCTAATTGGAGACAAAGAAAGGAAAGCTACCATCATGGGGGGTGGGGAGCTCCCCCAGGAAGTCTTAGCAAGTCCTGGGTCTCCTCTCAAGGACATAGGCAGCCTTCTAGCAATTAGTGGCAGTATATGAAGATTTTTGTGGCTTTCAGATTCCTTATTTTAATGTCCTTATGTTCTTCAATTTCTCGTCCATTTTCTGTTGTCTCGTGCTATTGCAAGCTTCTAAACAGAGACAATATTGATCTGGGAGTTATTTTTGTAGAAGGCTGGGATCCAAATGTTTCAGGCCACTGAGTCCTCACTTGCATCCCAAGTCTTAACAATGCTACTCAGTCTCCCTGAGATTTGGCCACGCGGTTACTTGCTGCACACATTGCTCATTTCTGATAATGGGGTTGTGATGAATTCTGCAGCGCCGGATCGTAGATGTACTGATAATACCCTGGGTGGTGCAGGAAAATTTGCTGAAGGACTGTTCAGTGCTTTGGACTTAATGGGAAAAGATGCTTTGGAGCCTATAAGGTTGCCGGCATAGCACTTCCCTACAGTTCCTTAAAGCAGCCATGTTTCCCAGCATCACACACTTGTCATCCACAGTGGCAGCGCAACCTTAAGACACATTTGGGTTAAGGAGAGCTGAGTGCTGCTATGCGGCTCTTATGACCTTCAGATTCGAGCTGCTGTACAGCCTTAGTATCTTTATTTTGTCAGCATATGTGCTCGTATCTGGAGAAGCAACTGGGCAGTCTCACACAACACACTTCTGGTTTAATTGTGGCTTGCTGAGTGGGTTTTCATAAGATGCCAATGAAAATCAAAAGAAACCACATTATGAGCTTCCTGTCAAGTGTGTCTCTGTCTCCTGTAAGGCCTTCATCTGGCTGTGCTCAAGTGCTCAGCCATCCCGGCCACAGTCCCATCACCAGCCTGGCCTGGGCTCCCAGTGGAGGATTGCTTCTGTCAGCCTCACCTGTTGATACAGCCATGCTTGTAAGTATGTTGTGCTGTTATGGTATAGAACGGAGGTGGGGAATGATGGGCCCCTCTATGACTTGTGGACTTCAACTCCCAGAATTCCACACGTCATAAAGGAACCATAAACGAACCCACTCCTGCTATAGAACAAGAGTAGCAGAAAAGCTGTGGCAAATAGAGCCACAGACATTGACTCGGTAGTGAATGCCTTTTTGTAGATATGGTTCTCTCAGGCAATAGATGTCCTGAAATGGTCAAAAGAGTTTGGGAGCAAATGTTTTTGGTAGTCTTCTCAGAAGGAGTCCAGGGTGCAAGGTGTTAATTTTTCTCCCATCAAACTCTATCGGTGGTGTCGTTTTAATTTAAAGTGAAGATTCTTGTTGGAAGAAACACAGTGCTTTCTTTCCACAGTGTTTTCTCTTTTTTTGACTTTGTGCCGCTAGGTATGGGATGTTTCCACAGAAAACTGTATCCAGTTGCAGTGGTTTGGAGGAGGCGGGGTCACGTACCTGGCTTGGTCACCCGATGGCAGCAAGGTGCTGGCAGCAACACCTTCATCAGTCTTCAGGTGAGCAAAGACCCTTGAAGCCAGCCATCTAAGGTCAGTCCTCTTCCTTTAGTGGAGTAATGGACGGTGGGGTAAGAACAATAAATGCCATTACTCTTCTCCTAGCTGAATGGTGCTCCCAAAACAATTTCATTTCTTTTTACCCCCTTGTCCGTCTTGTTGCAGAGTGTGGGAGGTTCAGATGTGGACTTACGAGAAATGGCCAACTATCAAAGGTCCTTGTCGGGTAGGTTGGGAAAGCAGGATGGGGAAGCGTTCTTATTTATTTACAAAAATGCGGTACTGCCCAGTTCATACTATTCAGGGTGGTTTACAAAGGGAAAGACAGAAATAACCACTCAAAAAAAAAAAAATGGAATGCAGCTCAGTAATAATACACAGCCAAAGACGTAGCTGTCTGGTCACTGTAAAATCTTGAGAAATCCCCCCAAAATTAGTTATCAAAAACCCAATTTAATCATGTCGTCTTTTCATTCAGGAACTGAATTTCTATTTGGAATTTTCTTACGATTTTAATATTACCAGTCATTTATTCATTCATTTATTCATACTCTTTCCTGCCTTGCAAAACACTAATAAATAGATTGCTAGATGTAGCTCCATGGACAAGACTCTTAGCATCCTCTTCCATAAGTCTGGCCGCTTATTCCTAAGATGCCCTGGAGCCAAGCTCTCTAGAGCAGGGGTCCCCAACCGCCGGTCCGTGGACCGGTACTGGGCCGCGGAACAAGCCTTACCGGGCCGCTGGTTGCTGGGCGCCGCCATCTTTTTTTGGTAAAAAAGTGCTTCCGGTGAGCTTTTCCGGGTAGAAAGCTCACCGGAAGCGCTTTTTCGTCATAAAAAGATGGCGGCGCCAGTGCTTCCGGTGAGCTTTTCAGGGTAGAAAGCCATTTCTACCCGAAAAAGCTCACCGGAAGCGCTGGCACCGCCATCTTTTTTGACGAAACAGCGCTCCCGGTGACGTCACCGGAAGCGCCTTTTCGTCATAAAAAGATGGCGGCGCCCAGTTGACGCCGGTACCGGGCTGCGGCGCCCAGCTGATGCCGGAACCGGGCCGCGGCGTCGAAAAGGTTGGGGATCCCTGCTCTAGAGGACTTTATTGGCCAAATCAGATCAATTGATTTGCATGCAGACTACTAACCTAGCCAACAGAGCAAACAGAGGATCGGTGTTCTATGATAGGGACAGTTTTTGTAACAACTCTGGTCTCTGGACAGCTTTTAAAAGTATCATCATGTAGAATGGAGTAACAATAACCTAACTTCTCCAAAACTAAAGAATATGTGTATTTTAAGATTGAACTGTTGGGTTCTTGGTGTTCACTGAACTTGGGGATTTTTTTAGGTGTTTTATTAGCAGGCCAAGCAATCCGATCAACCTGAGAGAAAGTGGAGTTTGCTGATTTGGACCGCCAGTCTTGATTTGATTTTTTTTTCCTTGATGTTTCCTTGATTAGAGTATTATTTCTTCTTTGACTGTTTATCAAATTGGCTACCAACAGCTATATAAAAAACAGCTAGTGAACTCCACTCTCCCATGGACTGATGAATTAACCAAGCCTGATAAAATTCCATCACAGGAATACAACCAAACATAGCGAACATCCAGATCTCAGTAATCTATTTAGCAAAGAATTTTGGTCCCTTTGTTTTACCTGCATTAAAACTGCATTTGTTTTCCATTGCCTCTGCCTGACCCCAGACTGGTTGCTGGAGTCCAGATGGAAGCCGTTTGCTGTTCACCGTCCAGGGGGAATTTGTGATCTATTCCTTATCTTTTTTGGAATATAGTGGTGAGTGTGCAGCTGTGACATGAATATGGCTTCTCGGTTTTTACAGTATGAAAAACGGTTTTAAGGAGCATGCTCGAATCTTGGTCTCTTTAATGAAGTGGAGGTTGGGGTTTGCTGGGTGGGGTTCCTCAGAGATTCTTTCTTGTACACGCAGTGCATTGGAGAAGAAAAGAAATACTACTGAATAGATTTTGGGCCGGTCTATGGAATTGGCTTCAGCGTCTTGCATAATGCGACTTTATATTTGTTTAATGTACGAATTTGATTATTCTGCACGACACTTGGTTATTAACTGAATACAGACAATAAGCAAAGTAGAACAGGGAATCTGATCTGGGTGTAAAGCCACTTTCTACCGACCTCCTCCTATCGTTTGATTTCTCTGGTAACTTCCCATATTTCAGGAGAGCAGCAAAGGCAGGTCGGTGGGTCTAAAACAGCTTCCATTGTGGCAGATCTTTCAGAGACTACATTCGAGACTCCCTACGGGGAGGAGAGGTGAGAGAAAGGGAATCTACCATGTCTGTGTGGAATTGGGTTGAATGTTTCTCGCCTTCAATACTGTTGTGGTTGCTCTGGAGTGTTATATACGTTGGTCGCTGGAAGCGTAGAGAACGGGGTTTGGGTGGGAGTCAAAAAAGATTTCTCTGAATAGGGTTTCCAGTAATTAGAAACCCTGGAGCTTAGAAGCTTCTCAAACCTTGGAATGGGCTGCAAATAAATTTAATATAGTAATAATAATTGGATAATAGTATACATTTGTAGAATGAACTAAGCTTTTTTTTTTTTTAATATAGTTTCCGCCCCCCCATTAACACTTTTTAAAAAAAGTTTTTAAATTCCGGACTCCCAGTCTTTTTTCTTCCTGTTGCAGCAAAGTTTGAATGTTCGTGGTTGACCGTTTAACGCCTAAGCTTTTTGCTCTGCTTCAAGTCTTCCGTCCCTGTGTTCCAGGATCGGAGGGGAAGTGCAGTCCATGGTTTGGGATCCCAGCGGGGAGAGGCTTGCGGTGGTCATTCAAGGTGAAGCCTGCTTCTTTGAAACTCGGGGGTTGGGGGGGGGAGCTTGGGGAAATGGAGGGCAGAGGGGGCATGCCCTCAGCAAACATGCCAGTGCCAAATTCCGAGTCCTTCTCCAAATGCGGCATTTTGAGAAACCATTTGGAGTTTTGCTTCCGGAAAGGTTTGTCTTTCGTCTTTGAACATGAGTGCAGGTGATTCGTGCAGCCGGCCATTTACAACCCACTCCACCCCTTTTGGGTATATACAGCCAAGCAGAAAGCACATTGCTACAAAAGCCCATGAGCAATAACAGAAGGATGTGCTTTGGGTGCATTTTAAAGGACATTTATAGGTTACATTTCGAGGCAAAAAGAAGGATATCGCCAAACCCCAAAAAGAATGCGGAGGGGTGGGGGGGATGCTTTAAAGTTATTCGAAACAAGGATGAATCTAGTGGTCTTCTTAGGGTGATTGTCTTCCTGTACTCCTCAGATAAAATCCTCAAAATATGTTAAGTATGTTACTGTGTGGATAACTCAGAATGTTACGACACTTTCAGTACATTATGTGGCTTTTCTTCCTTTATTCCGTCTGCGTTTTACATTCTGCCTTTCCTCCAGAGAGCTTCAAGGGGAACATGTGATCCTTTCCCCTTTCCCACAGTTTACCCACAGATCTATAAAGGCTGAGACATTTGCCCAAACTGACCCCCCGTCAGCTTCAAGATTATATATTTGGGGAAAAAAGGGATACGGATGAAAGAATACCCACTTCCTGCTTTATAGAAGCATATGCGTATGTTAAATCGGTTGTATTTGGGAATGGCACACCCCGCTTGAAGACTGAAATGACCCCCCAGCCCTTTATTTTACCCCCTTTTTTTTTTGTAGAAACGAGGGGAAGGGCACTGTACGCATGATATGGCTACCTTGCTGTGCCTCAGAAAACTTTGTTTTAAAACATCCCAGTGTTCTCCCCAAAGCTGATTTCTTAAACACTCCATGATTTCTTAAACACTCTTGCCAAACAAGTCAGCCCTCCTCTTAAGCTCTGAAGAACCTAGGAGGGAGCGTGAGCAGGGGCTATTTTATACACTGGGCCTGTTTTGACGTTATGGTTCTTTTGGTTTATAGTTCGTTTCTCTGCTGAACAAGTCAGCAGAATCCAGAGTCAACACTAAGTTGGATGGCCCTGTAAATCTGATAAATAAACAGTTGAGAAATGCTGGTGATATCGGAGAAATGTCTTGGCCAAGAAAGAACTAGGAACAGTTGCTTCTTCAAACTCCTCTGTGTCCGTGCACATTGAAGTTGCTTTCTGTTTTTGTTTTTGTTTTGTTTTTCAGAAAGATTTGGCAGTATAGTCCCAAGGATATTTTTTAGAAGGAGTCCCATTTGGTTTATTGAAATTTATTCCCCTGACAATATGCACAGGATTGTGCTGTCAAAGACCACTAACCACACCGATTGCATGTAGCTGTCAAGCAGTTAGATGATCCCTCCCAGTTCAGGCCCCATTGTGCTGGAACCAAGAGGAAAGGCTCTTATATGCTATCTTGTACTGTTCTAAAAGCTTGGTGTAAATCGCTCTGTCAAACTGAGCTTGGTGTAAATTGCCCTGTTTCCTTTCAAATACATTTCCATAAGACAAGAGGAGCAATCTTTAATATTTAATCAGGTCAATGTCAGCTTACAGCAACCATGTAGATTTTTCTCCATAATATCTGTCCCTAACCTGGTCCTATAGATGCTCCACTGGAAATGAGTCCCTCCCTTTTGTTGCTGGTCCTGCTCCTCTCTTTCTTTCTTTCCAACTTTCCCTGCATTAGAGACTTCTACAGAGAGCTCATTCTTCTGATTTAATATGTCCAGGGTAGGATAATTTAAGCCTGGTCATTTCAAGTCTCCGGGGAGAAACCTTGTTTGACGATCCATTGATTTGTTTTCCTGGCTGTAGTCTCAGGAAATTTCACCGACCAAATATTAAAAGGGTCAATATAAGTAGTCTCGATCTGCAACCATTTGTCAGCAAGGATGGTGCTTGAATAAAGACTGCTTGTGACTGGTCCTCAAAGTTCCAGCCATCCCAGCACCTTGCAGTCATGTGATCGAAATCTGCAACCTGTTTGCACCTAGGAGTGGTTGCCGAGTGTACCACAAATTTTTGTGGAAGTCAGTGGGGAAGCTGAAGATCTTAGGTTGCCGAGCTAAGTCTCCCTATTTTATAGATGAGGCCCAAAATCTCAGGTGCCTGGTTGGGAAGCTATTGCGGAAAGATCTAGGAATATAAGCACAAGGTCTATCCCACCTTCATCTATATTAGGCAATGTCTTTTGATTTAGAAAGCCCATTTCTCCCTGTCGCATTCTGCCCACAGTTATTAAGTGCTTTGCCAAGTTCCTTACTTTTTAATGTGTTTTTTTCCCTCCCCCTGGCAGGAAATTTGGATGCCTGCAAGACTATCATTGCAGTGTTTCGGACTCGCAATAACCCTGTGTTTGAACTTCTGCCCTGGTTTGTATTGTCCTGTCCCTCTTTATCTGGAAATGGGAGTCCATAAGCCATTTCTTATCTATATAAAAAAAAAAATCTAGATTTTTTCTTTTCTTTAAATACAGGTAGTTTTAAAGGGGAGCTCCTCCAAATTATTGTGATTATGGTAGGGAGGCAGATTAGGTAGGTTCTTTTTTTTTTTCCCCTGTCTTTATCTTTAGAAATTAGGGCTTAAATTCCAGGTTATGTTCCTTTTAGCGCTTGGCTACCACGGGTGCCCCCGACATGAGTGACGTCGAGCTGGCCATGCCTATCCTGGCGACAGCCACCCTGGCTTCCCCAAGATCAAAGACAACCCTGATTTGGCCCTCAGTGAAACTGAGTTTGACCCCCTCGCTATACAATATTGAAGCCAAAGAAGCAGGAGAGGTAGCACTCTTGGGCTATTAGGGAGGGGAGAGTATTAGACATCACTAGGCCAGGGAGCAAGTATTTTAATGTACTTTAGATGTGTGCTGTGGGTCCCAGACTGTTCAAAACAGCCTTTTAGGCATCCCTGTTATAATATTGCACTCTCTTTCTTCTACCACTTCTAGTGGTTTCGTACAGGGTGAAGATGGGGTTCAGCCACAGCTGGTCACTTTTCATCCTTGCTTTAAGAAAGGAGCCCTTCTGACAGTGGTAAGTTCAACCTCCAAGTACTGAGCATTGTGAAGAATGTCTGATCCAGCTGGGAAGAATTGTAGCTGTCTTTGCCATTGTGGTTGCTACTTCAATCTATGCTGTGCTATGAGGAGGGCTAAGCTGAGCAAGGAGAAGGAAGGTTTTGCTGTCACCAGATATCCTAAAACACATACCATATAAAGTTGGCTTATTTGCTGACTGGTCGACATTTCCCGTAGCATTAGCAACAATCTCTCTGGATGGCTATTAATCAGGGCATGAAGTACTGTGATTGTAAGATTCCTCTTGCCTATTCTAGAATATCCTCGGTGAAAATTTAAAGGGATATATTTTACTCGACAGCTGGGCTCTTCCCAGTCAACATAGCAAGGATTAGTGTAAGTTTATCTCCAAATCCAAATGGGGTGGATTGCTTTGTAACCTCATGTAATTCGGCTTAGATATTACTTTGATACTCAGTGATTGTTTTGTTTTTCTGAATTGCGTAGATTAATATATTTGGAATCTGTGTTTAGGGATTTGTTTGGATTTTGTGCACATTTCATGATTCTGTCCTGGGCTACATATACAATTAGAAACTTAAGAGTCCCAAGATTATTAATTTTTAAAAGCAAGCTTTGAAGCCCTTAAGATACTATTTCCAGATTTCTGAAAGCTGAAATGAAATATGAGGCATACTTGACTTCTGTGCCAAAGTTTTATATTTATTTCATGTAAGAAAGTATATTACTCTGACTAAAAGAAGATCAATCCCTGTTTCAACATAAATCATTCATTTAGATATATTACCACTTTGGAAAGAGGTTATTTATTTATCTATTTATTGTGCTTTTAAACTCAGATTTCTTCTGCATGGCCAAAAAACTACAGGATAACACCAAGCCCCTTCAAAAGTTATTACAAAATTGGAAAAAAATGAAGGAGAAGAAGGAGAAAATTACAACTAATGCAGACATCCAAAATGACCCATTGTTCCCTCGATTTATGCTGTGTTCCTCATAGGCATTCTTAGCTTTCTATAATGTGTAAATGGAGAATTTAGGAATAAGAATCCAAGAATAAAGTGTGGCTTCTGAGCATATATTAGAAAGTAAGCAGACCAAGTTTCCCAATCAACATGTATATGATCATTGCGTATTCAAAATAGGGCAGCACCAGCACTTCCCCCCAGTTTATATTCTGGAGAGGGGTGGGGGCAGATTTGGACAGATGAAGAAAACTTAAAAGTCTTCTGGGTCTTCATTTTATCGACCTCGGAAGGATGGAAGGCTAGGTCAACCATGAGCCAGTCAGGATCGAACTTCTGGCAGTGGAATGCAGAATTAGCCTGCAATACTGCATTCTAACCACTGCGCCACCACAGCTCAATATTAAGAGAACCTGTTTTCAATCTATTTTACGTTGGGAGGTTGTGCTCTTTTGTATCTCCTCCACATTCCACCTGAGATTTTTTGGGTTTTTTATTTATTAAATTTATATGCTGCCCAGCTCACTATTTTCTTAAATATATATATTTAAGAAAAATAGAGGCGAAAAATAGATGTCAGGAAAAGAAAAGGCTTCGTAATGGCTATAAAAACAATCGAAAGAAAGAATATATGTAAACGGGCCAGAGAATCAACTTCCAGGTTCTTTAGCCACATTCCAAAAACAGGTTTATTCATTGATTTAAAATATACATTCAAAAAAAATCTAGCCGCCCATCTTAAACCAAAGTCCCCAAACAAGAAGAAAGAGCCTGGGATGGCGGCCCAGGCCATCTTGAGGAAACAGGAACACTTTGTTTCTACTGCCTTTGGTTTGATGCCTGTGTCTTTCTTTCACAGTGCTGGTCCGATGGAAGCATCAGCCATGTTCCTTTCTTCTTCGTGACCGCTCAGTTTCCTTCATTTAGTTCTGGGCAAAGTCCTCTCGTGCCCTTGAGCAGTTGGAGCAGCACCCGGGAGCAGCCGCTGTTTTCCGAACTCTGAAGGGTCAACTCTCCTAGGACTTGAAGGGCTCTGAAGGGCTCCCAACTTCTGTCTCCATCAGCCTGGGGAGATCCAGGACTGATTTTAGATTTGATTTTGTATGAGTGTCTTTCTTCCATGATCTGGGCCTGGATTATATATGGTCTGCGGTAGAGACTGGACCGAAGGAATGCCTGCCTGCTTTCCTGAAATGGACAATGTTGTAGTTGTATTTAGGGCAGAAAATTAAACACATCAGTTCAAGGTCCTGTTTTTGCCTAGTGTTCTTCTCCCTGCTAGTCAAATAATCCTCACTACAACCTTGTTTTGTCTAATTGAGAGATTAACTGAAATTTTGCTGAGCATGTTTTCCGCTTGCTGCCTGACGTGGACTTTTCCCCAAGATTTTGTGGTGTTCTGAGGATTTGTGAACTTCATTTCCTAGAGGTATGAAGAGCAAAGACAATGTGTTGCCCTTGAAATAGTTTGAACTATGACTCTCACCAATTTTGCCATTCATCATGATGGTTCAGTTGATTGAAGGGGTGGTTAAAATTGGATAGATGCCAAGTTGTCCACCACTGTTTGGCTGGGGCACTCATTGCCGTAAGTTGTCTGTTTATTCAGCGTTGGCTTGGCCAGTTGCATGAACCCATGCGCTGTGGTGTGTAAACCATAGTTTATGACTTGGTATCATGTGTCTTCCTGTGGGTTAGCACAAGATGTGAACCAGATGAGTAAAATTAGCTATTGGTTTGGGGCAATGAGGGAACAGGCATTTTAATGAATCGAAACAGAGTAAGATACTCATCACCAAACTTGAGCCTGGTCAGTCCAATTGCAATGGTACAGTATTGTGGGTGCTTGTATTACAGTATTATTGGTGCTTGAGTAACTTCACAAATATTTTAACATGTATCTGAAAATTGGAATGCGTACCTCTCGTACACCCAAAGGGGTGTATGTAAGATGTTTGTGTGCGCATGAGAGATTTTAATTTTCCTGACAAAGCAAAGCATTTGTGAAGATAAGGGGAGGTTTGATCCCTTTATATTTGGGCTCTTGGTTCCATCTTTCATTTTTTTTAAAAAAAAGTTAGTAAAAAGAATTGATTAAGTTGGAAGTTTGCGGGTGACCTACTCTGAGTTGTTAAAAAGAGCAAAAGGGTTTCTTAGATCAAATTCCTGCACATGGACATGTTTCTTGATAGTGAAGATTACATACAAGTGTTAGTAAGGAGAGTTAATGTTAAGCACCAAAAGGAACATCCCTGGACCATTGTTTTATATGGGCATTAGGATGGAAGTGGGACTAATTCTTAAGGATACTTCTCTCCCCTTTATTTTTTTATTTTTTTAAATCACTGTCAAGAAGGATGAGGAATACTGGTAAAGGTTTTTTTTTTTTTTTAATAAAAAAGTTTTTATTTTTTAAGACAAACTTATACAAACAAAATATAAAAACATAAAACCACCTTCCATTTTATATACATACAGTGTGTCAGTTGGTTACAAATCTTTCGTGCTATCCTTTTATAGTCATTACTCACTGGTAAAGGTTTTTGTATGTGTGTTTAGCTTTGGGAGTTGCTGCAAAGAGTTCCCACCAGGGATAGTTGTAAACTGATCTTCAGAAAGAGAAGTGTTTTTAAAATAAGCAACAGCAAAAAACACTCGGCTGTCTTATTTGGCTCCCTGCCACCAGCACTTCCATCTCTCTCACTTTGATCCTCTTATATTTGGACTCTGGCTAGTAACGCCTCATCTCTGGACTGAGCAGCTGAGAGTTGCCCAAAGGGAGGTTGTACTATGACTACGGAGGGAGATTCTCAGGGCACCACAGATTGCGTTTCCCTCTTGCACAACGTAGGGTGAGCCTCCAGCCCACCACTTTGTACATACTTGGTGTGCCTGTGAGCTCTGTGTGCCTGTGAACAGCGCTTACAGAGCTGCTGGCCGATTTTTGGAAGAAGGAAGAGGAAACCCCCCAAAGAACCCTGCAATTCTTTCAGATGTTCAGAAGAAGACTCGGCTAAGAGCTGGATCACGCTGTGCCATGTAGGTTTTTCACTTCTCCGTTGTCTGCTAGGCCAATTGCTGGACTGTCTGTTTGTAATACACTTAGAAGTGATCCGAGACTCCTTATTTCTTGTGATATTATATGAGGGCCAATGGAAAATACGCCAAATCCATATCAAGAGTTCATAAGGAACTCTTTCCTTTCAACAGGAAATAACTTTGGCTTCTCCGATCCAGTAGGTTGGCATTTTCACATGAACACCGCCTTTTGTATCGGGAGATAACAATTATAATTTAATATGATTGCCTGATCAAGAGGTTTGCAAGTCAGAGAAAACCGTCAAGGCCATATTTTTAATGCTACAGAAGAGCCTGTTAGATGACTTGATCAAGTATAGCAGCTTAAATGACAACGCCTGCAGCTCTGCAAAAAAAAGGATGCAAATGGACTCCTCCGTGCCTGCTCTCCAAAGGTTTTTTAAAGAGCACGTTCTTATAAAAGCCATTTCATAATAGGTAATACGGAGTGAAATAGGCAATAATAAAAATAAACTTGCTGTCCTTTATTGATTCATGAATTGCTGTTACTGTAGGATATGCTCCCATTTGGGCCTGGCTGCCACGATGCAGCTAATACAGCCATAGATCCAGAAGGAGAGGCTCCCAAAGGGGATGAGGCAAGAGAGACCAACTGCTTTGCTACATGTTTGAAGATAGCTAATTTCAGGTAGTCCTTGACTTATGACCACCATTGAGCCCAAGATACCTGTTGCTAAAGGAGACATTTTGTGAAGTGAATTTTGCCCCATTTTACGATTTTTCTTGCCCCGTTTGTTAAGTGAATCATTGCATTTGTTAAGTTAGTAACATGGTTCTTAAGTGAATCTGGCTTCCCCGTGGACTTAGCCTGTCAGAAGATTGCAAAAGGTGATTCCCATGCCCCCAGGACACTGCAACCGTCATAAATATGAGTCAATTGCCAAGCATCCAAATATGAGGATGCTGCAACAGTCATAAGTATGAAAAGTGGTCACAAGTCACCTTTTTAAGTGCCGTTGCTACTTCGAACGGTCACTAAATGAGTTGTAAGCTGAGGCCTTCCTGCAATGGGTTGATTAATAAAGATTGCATTTTCCACAGCAGTAGTAATTAATGGAAAATAAAGCATAGTCTGTTGCAGACCAAGGAAATATTTATACAAGTGGGTGGGGCTAGTTTTTAGGGGGTGCCCCCAAATACCCCTCTAGTCATCAAACTTCATTCATGGTGGATTGCACTTTAAAAGGATGTAAAAAAATGTCATTACTTTTCATGAATTAGCCTATTATTTCATCAAAAAACGTGGCTAAGGCAACCAAGAAAAATGTCCCCATCTTAATTTCAGAATCATCTAATCCTAAGGATTAAAATGGACCAACGTACTTACATATGATAAACATTTAAGTAGAGTGATATGGGGATTTGGAAAGATCAGAAGGGCATATCCCCTACTTGTAATGCAGGCTTTAACCTTTTTCTTGGCCTTGAGTTGTAATCTAATAGCAACAAAGAAAAATGTAGGTACCTTATAGCTCTTGTTAGTCTAAAACGGGTGTCAAACTCAAGGCCTATGGGCCGGATCCAGCCCATGGGGTGCTTAGATCTGGCCTGTGGGGCTGCCCTGGAAATACAAAGGACCAGCCCGTAGTGCCTTTGCCAGTGAAAATGGAGGTCAGGAGCTCCGTTTCAGCTGGCAGAAGGCTTGCAGGATGATCCCCCAACCCTGCCTGGGCACCACAGGTCCCCCCTGACAGGAGTGACATCAAGCTGGCCATGCCCACCCTGGCCATGCTTATCTGGAGCCCCCAAGGTCAAACAACCTTGATGTGGCCCTTAATGAAATCGAGTTTGACACCCTTGGTCTAAAACATAAAATAAGTATCAGACAAAGATGAGTTTGGAAGTAGATGCACTTTTATTTATGTAGGCAGAGCCACCAAAGAAGCAGAGTTAGACACACAGTACTTTTGATTACAAATACGCATTTCATGTTAACAATGGAAACCTGTTTTGCTCCCCAAAATAGCATTTCCCTGGAGCGGTGGGTGAGGTGAAAGTCAGTTTGTAGCTAGAGACAAAAATCCTCGTATTTTTTTCACCATCACCCTGGTTTCTGTTTCCATCTATCTCTCTCCTATTAAAAAAAAAATTTGCTTTACTTGTGGAGATGCTACCAAGAAAAGGAGAAATAGCTGTTAGTCTTCTTGAATTGAATTTCGCTTCTTTGGAAATTAGATTGAAGATGTCAGCTGACCACTTCTGCAATAATACACTGAGAGCCTTTAAGAAGATATCAAGTCAGTTTTGGGTGGGTGAGGGGAATGGCAGTAGCTGAGCAGATTAGATGGAAAGATCTCTGTGAAGCACCAGGGATTAAGAAGCTGGGATTTGCTATTGATTTCATGCTTTGCTCCCTAGTATTAAACTATGATATATCTAGAAAGTGATCCAAATTGACTGACAGGTGCTTTATCTAGTGTAATTATAAGAAACAGTGTACACAATAGAAAGGGGATCTAGCGTTTAAACAACTGTTTTGGATTATATAGCATGGTGGCCTGTGGGGGAGACAAAAGGCAGAAATAATGCTGCACGTGCAGTTTTAAGGGGCATAATTCCAACAAGGATTACAAGGATAATTACATCTGTGATTTTTTTGGGGGGGGGGGGCTTTTGTTCCACTGTTAAAGGCTGTTAAAGGATGCTTGCCAGGAAAAACAGAGATGCCAACCATTATGCATATTACTCATGCTTCAAAGTGTTTACAAAAAGTGGCCACTGGGAGAAAAGAAAATGTGCAAACTTTATGGGTTTGGAGGGAAGACAGAAATGAACCCACCCGTACAAACCCAAGTGGAGAAGATGAGGCTCACAGTTTAAATGGACATGTTCCCACTCTTCTAAGAGGACTGGGAACGACCCGCCTAGTTGGTGAAAGTTGGAAATGTAATTTTTGGAGGTTGATTTTTAAAGCCAGCCTTTGATCCAGCAATCTTAACAGCATCCATAATTGGGGAAGGGAATCCTCACATTTCAGGCTGCTGCTAATTTAACCAATCAGCTATTGTTGGAGAAGCCAGGAGACAAAAAAAAGAGTCTTGTCAGCAAGATTGGGGCAAATTGATGAGTGGAAGCTAGTGGGTTGAGATGTGAGTTTACTAGGGGGTGAAAATTGCTCTACCTTTAGAGCAAAATATTCCTAGTTTATTCT